GACTGGAGTTCAGACGTGTGCTCTTCCGATCTTATTTGTGTTGCATTATAAAATAACCACACAATATATTTCAAAAGAAAATTAATTTTTGTTCAATATTAATTTCTTCGATATATTTTTTATAATAAACATTGTTGACAATTATTACGTTTCATGTTGTGGTAACGCATGATTGACTCGACGTAGAAATTATTATATTATCGAGCGGGTCGGCTACATCACATACGCTGTAACCAATATCTCTATTTGAAATAAGGCGGCGAGCGGCGAGCCGAGCAGTCGAAGCGGCCCGGAGCCGCCCGACTCCAGCCGAGCGAGTTGAGACGCCGGCCGAGCGAGCGTTGCTGAGTGCGAGAGAGTCGGGCTGTTATGCTATCTTCGTCTATTAGCCGAAGATGCCCGGAGAGACTCCCGTGACAAATCTGGAAGGTCTGCCATTCGGTGGCAGGCTGGGGAGCCTCGTGGGGGACGATCTCCTCGGCAGTGTCCTTTGCAACGTTCTGTCCCCACGATCCACGACGCCGCGTTACCCGACGTAAGCAGCGCACTATTCGCGACCGGGACGTCAACCGGCCGGCTATTCCTCGTTGTCGTTGCCAGGGTGTTAGTTGGCGTGTTATTTCTGCCGGCCGACTGTCTGTTAAAGCTGCTCGTCCGCCCCGCGCCGCCGGATGTGTCAGGCGTGCTCGCACCCCCAGATGACTTGCGGGGGGGTCGGGTGCGGGGGGACACGTCCCGGCCTGGTCGTGCCACTGCTGCTGCTCTTCTCGGTCGACGCGCCGACCGCCCTCCGCGTGCTGGTGGTCCTCGCGGGCAGTCTCTTCGTTGCTCCCTCTCCGCTCTTCCTTGTAGCTGCAGATGCTACAGCTATTCTCCCCGCCGACGATAATGTATTTGGCGAGGGTAGGGGGGAGCGCGCGCCAAGCTTGCCGCAGCTGATGACTTGTCGGGCAACTTTTTGATGCTTACCTGCAACACCGGCGACCCATTAACTGCGGCGGCTGTCCTCGGCGGCCTTCTCGTAGCGGCCCGCCTTCCTATTGGCCGGTCTTCGATGGCCGGGTTTCTATGGCCCTCTGCCAATAGGGCTGCCCTCGGTGATGGCGCGGCGCTCTTCGCGGCAGTTCTCCCGCGGGCTTGCACAATGGTCGGTGTAGAGGGCCTCCTCGTCGTTGTGCCCGCGGTGACTGCCGCATATGAGAGGGACTCTATGATCGATGGTGATGATGGCCCCGGCGATGGAGTGGCCGTGGGAGCCACAGTGGGTTGTCGCAATCTTGCAGCACGGCTCCGACTCACGCCAGCCGTCTCCGTCGACGACGCGGCCGCAGGCACCGAGCGAGCACGCACGCCCGTATTCGTACTCTCGCCGGTGTCGCTGTCGCCGCGAGTGCTCGGACCCGCCGCATCTCTTCCGGGAGTATCGTGTTCTTTCGCAAAGTGCGAACGAACGGTTTTCAGGGGGTACGCACCTGTCTCCTTGAAGCCACAAAGAGAACATACATATGATCGTATTTTTCGGATGGCACGTTTTAAGATGTTTCGCTGGATGCGGCGGGTCGCTGTATTTGCCCTGTATCTTGGCCCCCGGATTATTATTAAAGCAACGCTGACAATATACATTTGGAGGCACAGGATACTTTGTCGTGTGCACACGTGGTTCCGCCATTGCCAGTGATCAGTGCAAGGGCCCTCTCGATATACGGAGAGACCGCCCGAATGGCGGTCTCTCTGCGCGTAACAGGCCACGTGGATCCACGTATCCGGGAAAAGATGGCGGATCGAAAGCATATGCTCCGAAGAACACAGGCGCCCGATGAAGATGCCACACAGAGGGCTTAAGGCGCTATCCGCAAAGCGCGGAGTCACGCAGCCGTGTGCGGCGGCCCGTACCCGACACCCTCGCCCGGGCCTGCCTCACGCTCACAGCGCCCGGCACGCACCGTCTACTCACTATATACTTACGGTTTCACTGGCAATGGCGGCTCCACCAATGCACTGGGTACTGATCACAAGTCACTTTGCACTCACTGTTACTCGCGGCGACTCACGACTGGGAACTTGTGCACTTTCACTTTTCACGCTTACTGCACTGATCTCGGTACTTAGAAAATTTTCGACTTCGCGACGCGTATATATAATATAACAATACCACTTCCCGGCTACTCGACACTCACACTCGGACTTACGAACTAACTCCGAGCTTTACGAACGCACCGAGACAGTCCCCGCGACGGGGCACGCGCGCCGCCCGTCGCGCCGCGTGGGTTGGCCTTACTGCAACCTGCCACTTCCGCGCGTCGGCAGATTA